GCGGGGGTGTGGTGCCCGTGGCGTGCCCCCCCCCCCCCAGCCACTCCTCTTAAAGTGCACAGGGGGCCGGCGGTGCCAGGGCGGGGGACAGCAGGCAAAGCTGGTCCTGGCCTTGAGAGCTCGCCCTGGCCCCACGGCGCAGGGCAAAGTTCTGGGTGTGATGCTCCGGCTCTGTCCCTCGGCTCAGCGCTGACAGCTTGGGGTGCAACCCCAGGCCAGAGGGTTGGTGAAAATAACAGGGGAGCAGAGCTGGGAAGGGGAGGCGTTTTGTCATAGGGGCCGGGGGCCGTGCAGCCCAGCGACCTCGGGTGTGAGCAGCGGGTTGTGGGTGCCCTTTGTCGACATCCAGTCATTGAGGAAGGCCTGGGTGGCTTTGCGGTGAGCCAGGCGGTGCGTGATAGAGAAGCCGGCGTTACCCTCCAGCTGGGAGAGGATCACCAACACCTGCCTGCGGAGAGAGCAACGGGCTCAGGGCCAGGCAGCTGCCTCTGCCCCAGCAATCCCAGCCCCTGCCACCCTCTGCCCACATCTCCTTTGCTCCAAGCCCCTGCCAGTTCTCAACCGGCAGCCCCTCTGCCAACCCACCCCTGCCTACCCCGGACCTGTGCAGGGGAGGGACGCTGTCCTGCGTTTTGAGGCTGCCACGCGTGGAGACAACGTTGAAGCTGTCGGTGCAGTCACACTGGACGTGTAGGTAGGACTTGGGGTGCCGGTTCTCCACCACCACTATGAGTCCTGCCCAGCCATGCGTCAAGTAGTAGCAGGTCATCCCCTCACGGCCCTGGGGCAAAGAGGAGGGTCAGGGGGGTGAAGCCTCTCGACTTCCCTGCCTCCGAATCTCAACTCCTGGACCAGCACCTTCCACCTTCTGCCAAGGGCTGCCCAGCTGCTGGAGTACACCATGCTGCTCCATGGAGCAAAGTAGGTGGGCATCCATAGAATCACTAAAGTTGGAGAAGACCTCTAAGTTCATCACATCCAACCATCCACCACCATGCCCACTAAATCACGTCCCAAAGTGCCACAGCTACATGGCTCTTGAACACCTCCAGGTATGGTGACTCCACCACTTCCCTGGGCAGCCTGTTCCAGTGCTTGACCATTCTTTTACCATAGAAGTTCTTCCTAATATCCAATCTAATCCTCCCTGGCACCGTCCCCCCTACCAAGGGGTAAGAGGGAACGAGGTGGCACCCAGAGCTGGCACAGCCCTGCCTGACTCCTGCCAGACTAAGGACACAGCAGGGGCAGGGTACAGGCTCTGGCTGGTAGCATCACCCTCCTCCAGCCCCCTGCCCCATGCCACCTGCACTGACCTCATGGCGCTCGCCCTTGTTCTCGGTCAGCAGGATGATGGCATCTGCCAATGTGGTGGGCTGTGCCTCCACCTGCTCCACCATCACCAGGCGGGAGCTGTAGATGGCCAGGATATAGCTGGAATAATCAGTGGCTGATCGGCTGCTGGTGGGACTGGATGCTGTGGAGACACATGGAGGAAGGGGGGATCAGTGAGACTGTCACCAAGCCCATAACCTCCAGAACCAGTGTGCTGCTGGGTTGCTGCACGTACAGGCAACCTCCACCCTCAGCAAGGTCTCCACAGCGAAGATCAAAGGCTTTGTCACCTCTTTGTCACCTCTGCCTCCCCCAAGGTCTCCACCAGCCATGGGAGCCCAGCTCCTTACCCTGGGCAGCAGTGGGCCCTGCCAGAGCAGCACTCCAGTGGTTGAAGGCACAGCACACGACAGCATACTCGCCCGGCTCCAGCATGACATCGCAGTTGACGAACTTCTTGACAGCTCGTTTGCTGTGAGCCATCAGCCGGCCCAGGCTCAGCTTGTTCCCGCTGGTGAAGGTGGCCCGGAAAACCATGATGCACAGATCCAGCAAGTGGCTGTCCACCGTGTCCGACCGCCTGCACCGGGAAGGGAAGAAGAGTCACAAGTCATGCAAGTGCTGCCTCAGAGAGCACATGGAGGCCACGGGCAGGACAGCAGATCCGGAGGAAGAGTCCTCCCACTGCCCCAAGTATCCAGCCCCAGGAACCACCGCACATTCAAGGTTTGGATTTTGGCTAAAACATGAGCAGACCCTGAGAAGTGCGGAAATGGTGATGGAGGCCCATCCCTGAGCTCTGCCACCCCGTGAGATGGCACAGGGCAAGAGGACGATGTATTTGGGATTTCTCCTGGGTCCAGGTCACTGCCTATGCAGTGCCCAGCTCACCTGCTGCCCTCCTGGAAGAGGGCAAACTCCAGGGCGGCACGCTCCAACACCGTCAGCGACGTCACCGTCACGGGCCCGTTGGCCTTGTTGGGGAACATGCCCTGCACACGCACCTCGTGCCAGTCCGAATGAAGCTTGCAGATATCCACGGAGTCAAAATACCTGTGGGAAAGTTGGGCTTAGGCCTGGTGGGGTCCTCTGGGGGTGCATTGCTCTGTCCCCATGCCCCAGCACCCTGCAGCTCATGCAGCTGAAAGCAGCAGGAACTAGGAGGTCACTCACATCCCCCTGGAGATACCTGGCCCTGCCCACCCCATCTTTACTCCCATGTCCCATTTTCTGTCCCCTGTCTGACTGCCCACCCCAAAGCCTCTGCCTCCTGGGCACTACCGTACTTAATGAAATCGCTGTACTCCATCCAGAAGACACCCTCGCTGCTGCCGTGGGGCATCAGGTCATGACGCAAGGGAGTCGGCCAGTGTGGCCACTCATCGGACCAGCTGCCGTTCCAGGAGAAACGGCCCCAGGGGTTTCGGAGCCGCAATAACCTGCGGGAAGGGAAAAACAGCATAAGAGGCCCACAAGGAAGGAAAGCACAAAGAAGATGACCTCCGAGATGCTCTCCCAGCTCTGCAGAACCAACCAGCCCCCACAGAGGGCACCACACCACTTCTGGCCCTGCCTTTCAAAGCCCTCACAGCATCTCAGATCTTATTTGCCACCCTTTTCATCACCCCGGATGCATACATCCTGCAGCTCTAGACTTGCTGCAGCTCCCTCTGCCCTTCTCAGCCAGGTGCTGTAGGGAAGGGGCTCAACTGGAAAAATGCTGCTGAGTGTGTGCCTGGAGCTGCACAAGCCCAGGAGTGACACAGATGGAAATGGGGCTTCATCCAGCAGCCAGGCTGTTGGGGGCAGCACCCCTTTCTGTTCTCCCACCCTCCAAAGATGAGAAGGATGTCATGACTGCCTCACTGAGTTGAAAGAGCTCCACTCAATCTTCTGCATCGTGTGAGAAGACCAGGCAAACCATTCTGCTCCATAGAGCATCCTAGAGCACAGCCACCCTGGACGTGGAGCCAGTGCCAGGCAAGGATGGCTTCTATGGCAACAACATTTATCTGACACTCTGGGATGGAGAAACAGCCCTTGCTGGCCATGAGAACAGGACACGGAAGGTCCCTGATGTCTGGTCCAGCATGCACTCAATTATCTGGCCCCAGGGCTGGCAGGAACACCTGCTGTACCATGCCAGCCTCCACCCTGGACTCACCTGAAGCCTTGGACATCCCGCACATCCAGGATGGAGTAGGCATGCCGTGGACGCAGACCCATACTCTCGTAGGCCACATCGTCCACTTTCATGTTGCCTCCACCACAGGATGCACCCATGAGGAACCTGCATAAGGGACAGCAAAACTCTCAGAGTCCTGCCAGGCCTGCCACAGGGGAGAAGCTCATCCCTACTGCTTGAGGCCCAGGACAGATTTCCCCACCAGGAGGCTCCTGGACATTTCCCCCTCTGCAACCACACCATAAACCTCCCTGGAGCAGAGCCAGAGCTCTGCCTGGGCAGCAGCGAGCTCCCTCTACCTGCTTGCATGCACACTTGAGCCCAGGCTCCATGGTGAGCTTCTTCAAGCAGTGCCCTCACCTGCAGGGCTGGAAGCTCTGTCCAAGCACAGCAGAGCTTCGCCCAAATCTCAGCCATTTTCTGCCAGGCCCTGGGTTCCTGTCTGTCTCTGCTGGCTGGCAGGACTTAGCCGCATGGAAAGCCACTTTGCAGGCTGCTGGCCCCTTCTGCAGGGGCGAGGACAGGCTCTTCGGAGCAGGAGGTCTGTACCAGCCAGGTTTGGGAGGTCACCACATGCTGGGATCTATCAGCTTTCCATGTGGCCCCATACTGTGGGCTTGCAGGAGCAACCCTGCCTTCAGCCATCCCCAAAAAATCACCCTAATTTCCACTGCAAAGACTTCAGGAACATAACTGCCCTCCCGCTCCTCTTGCCATAGTGATGACCAAGAGGTCATTGCTTTTGTTTTGTCAGGTCCAAAGTATGGCCAGCAGAGATGCCGTGTACGGGTGGATGACACATGCAGGGTTCAGCACTTAACAATACAAAAAAGTCCAAGCAAAGCAAGCGGGCTCAATGCCAGCCACTTCTAAACTCCTGCAAGACAGCAGTAAATGCGCACAGTGAAGTTCACCAGGATTTTAATTTCATATGAAAATTAAACAATGGAGAAATAATTTCTTAGAGCTTAGAGGGGGAGCTCTGTCAACACTTCAGATGAATGCCAAGGGTGGTGGACTCCACCCTAGGTAATGCACTTGCCCCTCTCCTCTGATCCTCTAAAACAAGAATGGCACCCCTCACCCCCCTCTCTGAGTGTCCATGCTCCTGCCACAGCACCCTCCTGTCTCGTCTTACCCAGCCTCCTTAGAGCTCAGCATTTTGGCCCAGATGAGGTCAGTGTCAATGGGCTCCTCGCGAGGGTTAGTGGAGCTGACCTGCAGCATCAGGCTCTCGCAGGGGGCACCCGTTAGTGTAGCCAGGCCTTCAATAGCACGCCCTGCCTGGAGGGCAAAGTACGAACCATGAAGCTTGGCCAGCGCCTTCTCAATGAGGGCAACCCACAACTGCTTCCTCTGGGCCTGCAGAAAAAGGGAGAAACACCATGAGACACTCAGGGCAGGAGATGGGAAAGCAAAGGCAGCGCATGCAGACAAGGCAAAGCTCCGCTCACTGCTGCGATGGGACATGGAGAGGCAGGAGCGGCAAGCCACCAGGAGCTTGTCTGCACAAGGCCACGGGTGACTCTGTTAGCTGCCTGCTCAGCATTTTGTTTAATTCCCTTTGGAGTGAGCACCCAAGAAGCCTGGATGCCAACACAGCAGCACCCTGGGGTGCCCATGCAGTCAGGCTGGCAGGGGTGGGTGTTCACCTTGTAAGCTAACGGCTCCTTCCTTCTGCATCTACCTGGATTTAAATATGTTTAATAATGGAAGAGGAGATCGAGCACACCTGGAACAGCTGCCTTTCGCTCGCACACCATCGCAAACCAAAACCAACACCTTTGCAGAGGAGGCTGCCAAGAGCACCCATGGCTGTGGGACCAATTAGACGTCATCCATGAGACAGAGATGCTAGTTCAAGGACAAGCTCTGAAAACTCAGAGACAGATGGAAGAAATCCTCTACTCCAGCACAGGGACAGTAGCAAGATGTAATTACAAGATGCAAGTTTTGCAGGGTTAAACTCTTCCCAGAGTTGCTTTGCTCTGGTGCCAAACTATTGCTTTTGGCATTGCCAGGCTGATTATGGATTCAAACAGAAACGCAGAAGCTGCATTAATGCACCCAGAGGTTTGCAAAGCCTCCATCAGCCACATCAATGTGGTCTCAGGGCCCTTCACCACGATGTCTCCGCCACTGCTGCAGGTCCTCAGCATGCCACAGGGTGCAGTCACCAGCCATGCTTTACTCCTAGGCATGGGAGGGACACCTCCACTCCAGCCCCTGCCTGCAGCAAGGACATGAAGAGGAAGGCGCAGGAGGGCAGAAGGCAAGGAGACATTTGCTGGCCTCTGCATTCCCAGCAAATCGGGTTCAGTACGTGCTGCTTTGAAGGCAGTGGAGAAAAAGCACTGGTACGTGAGACCATGTGTGACTCACAGGTGGCAGCCAAGAGCTGGGGGAGAAAAGAATGGCAGCGACAATTTCTCTCCAATGGATAAAGCAAGCTTACACTGGTTTTTGAGTCTCTCACTCAACAAAATCCATCTTGTTTATTTCTGCCTGAGCCACAGCCAGGGAGCTCTGATAAGAGCCTGATTTTCCTTTATTTTTAAAACTCTCAGTTTTTCCATTTTTAGCCCCCACATTCAGCTCACACAGCTGAACGCTAAGCAGAAAAATCTTGTCATGATTCAGATGCCCCTGGAAACAAAAGCAAGAGAAGCCCAGCCCATGTGAAAACCTTCAATTTTCAGGGAAAAAAAAGCAGCATCGAAATTTCAAGGGAGGAAATACTAATGGAAAAGAAAAAAAAGCAAGACAGGCAAATCTTATGCTGAAAATAATGCGTCTGACTGGATCCTCTCTGTCTCCTGTGAGGCAAAATGTAGACACAGACTCCTCCTCCTTCCCCTCTCCAAAGTTTCTCCTTAACAGGACCGGCGTCCAGCAGCACTGGCAATCTTTTTGCCCCAATGGAGTCTCTGTATCCCTGGGGGTAACACCACTCTGCCGAGAAAGTGTCCAGGCAGCCCAGGCTGGGCAGTGCTGTACCCCTGCCTGCACAGTGTGAAGCCCCTCCTAGACCCCTGCCCCTTAAGTGGCAGGAGCCCACACTGCCAACCATGCCAAGAGTGCTGCTCATTAGCCCTGATGCAACTAACAGTTACCCGAGGACTGGGCCACCTCCACGCAGTGGAGGGCACAGGTTACCAAGCCCACACAAGCTGGGGACTCCACAAGCTGTGCCAACAATAAAGTTCCCCAAATACTTATCTTCTGGCCCTGTTTCCCCAGCCAGAGTCCTGTCCTGACACCTAGGTACGATGCAGTCTGGGGTCGTGTATATTAAAACAGAGGACTGGGATTTGCAGAACAAAGTCAAACCCAGCAGACCCGGGTCTCTGTCTCCTCCTGACAGCAGCAATTTGTTTTGTTTGGCAGATTTTGCCGCCTGAGTTTCAATAAAGACGTTCTCAGTCTCCTTCATGGACATGATCCCAGCAAGCGCCCCTGGGCCTGGCAGGCAGGGCAGGGCATAACGCGCAGTGACGTCCCGAAGCGGCTGAGGGAGCTTTGTTAATCCTCGCAGATGCCACTGAGTGTGCTCAGAGCTACCGGGCACTGGCTCGAAACAGGCTGATTTGTCGTGCAATCCACTGCCTCGCCAAGGTCCCTCCCTGGCAAAGCGAAGCTGCCAGACCTCCCCACAGAGGAAGGAAACAGCTTTCCTTCAGCCCCTCGCAGTGCAAAACACATGGGTTAAAATATTTGCCTTTTGCTGTGAAGAATAAGGACGACTCCCACGGCAAATAAAGTGGCTGTGGTGCAGGAAGGAGCGAGGGGAAAGCAACTACAAGTGAAATTTCTCCATCACAGCCTGGAAAATGCCAAAAGGGCCCTAAATAGATTTATATTATGGCCTCAAAGAGTTCAGCTGTCCTGAAGGTGCAGCAGAAAGCAGGGTCCTCAGCTGCGAACACCCACGCAGCGCAGAATAGGGGCCCCATGCGAACCACAGCAGTACTTCACGCCACTGCCTCCCTCCTGGGAGAGCCGGGGATGAGCCTCCCCCTTCCCCTGGAGCACTGACCACCCCGTCTCCGCACTCCTTTTACCCCCAGGGGCTGCTGACCTGCGAGAAGAGGAGGTATCCGCACTCGTCGCATGGCAGCATGTCATCCACCAGCACCGTGGTCCATGTGCCGTCCTTGCACAGCCGCACCTGGTAGGCACCCTCGGGGCACAACGTCCTGGTGATCATCACCCTCTCCACCAGCTCTGGCCGCTCGGCCAGCACGGCCAGGGCGCTCAGGAACCTGTCGGTGGGACGGGACACGGAATGGCCTCAGTGGGGCACAGGCAGGCAGCAGAGAGCTGCCCAGCCCTGCAGCGCAGGGGACTGCAGTCTGCAGCCGTTTGGTAAGGAGATGAGGCAGAGGATGGGGTACATGCCTGGGGGTATAAATGGGTTTGAGTAGGGCTGAGGGGTCTGATCTGGGGCTGGATGAAGGAGGGGAAAAGAGGATGGGGCAGGAGGGTGTCAGCCTGGCTTGCTCCCCCTTACCAGCAGTTTCCCAGAAGTCCTTGTAGGATATCCGAGGGCCTGGGTGTCCGAAACACCGACCACTTCACTGATCGATCCTTGAAGATGCTACAGTTGATTTCGTGGGGTCGCAGCCACTGTTTCACTCTCTGCTGCACGCTGTCACCTTCTGGGAATCCCACCGACTTAGGCCCAGGGTGGAAACTGTCATCTACAAAATTGACTTTGTTCTGTGAGAGCAAAAGGCAAGGAGAACATCAGTGTGCAGCTGTGCAGCACACAACTCCCCAGGACCTCCTGGGATGGAAAACCCCCCACTGCACCCCCAGGAGTGAGAGCAGAGCCCCCAGAACCCCTGCTTGACCTGGGCAGCCTCTTCTGATGCCATGCCAGGGAGCAGGTCCGGGGTCCAGTGTCTGCTGGCAACAGCACAGACGTATTTTGTGCATCAGGTCCAGCCTTCATCCCTGCCATGAGCTGTCTCACCTCTCCGGGCCCCAAGCTTTGGACTGTGACTCAAATCTGCCTTTTGCTCTTTCGCAGGAACCTTCCCGGGCAGGGACTGTCTCACACTTTGTGCTGGTGCTAAAAGCTGGACCGTGGGGGACCTTGGCTGCCTCTAGAAGTGACAAAGCAGGCAAGTAGCAAGCCTGCGAGGAGCCACCTGGCAAGCAAATGCTCCTCAACCCAAGCCCTGTGCTAAGGGCTGAGCCATCCCTGCCGCAGAGGGGACACAGTGGGCTTGGCAGTCCCACGCCACTCCTGAGGCACGGCCATGGAGGACGTCAGGTGCATTTTCGCAATTGGATTCAGCCCAATCACAAACAGGCAAATTATTCCAGACATGGGATACCCTCACTCTGAGCCCACCTGCTCGTATTAAATAAAACAGGATGGACTGAAGGGCAGATCATCCTGTAGCTGTTAGGCACAGAGGCAGGACGGAAGCACAGAACTTCAAGGGGAGACAGGCAGGGTTTTCAGATGGTTGAACACAGGGTGAAATAAGAACCGGGATTTCTCTGATGTTGTAAATTAAATGAAATTAAATTCTTTCAGCAAAAGCCAGCTCTGATTTAAGTTAGCTTTTATGCACACCAAACTAGTAGTTGTTCTTCCTCTTTTGCTGTAAGCCTACGTGAACACTTTCTACGTGTTGCGTCAATTAGCACTTCCAGCTTCTCTTTGGCAGAAGGGTGTTTTTCAGCTAATAGATGTCACTGTTCAAATACCAATGCAGGCCACAAAAGACACGTTGTCCCAGGGCTTGCTGGCTTTCCCAAAAGGAGCATCTGCTCTGTGCAGCTGACAAGCAGCCGCCTTTGCTGTATTGGTCAGCACCCTCATCTCGTCACATACCAGCCTTGCACACTTGTCTCTCAGGGTGCAACCAGGGCTCCCCAGGAAGCTGCTGTGCAGGGCTGCACAGATGCAGAGCAAGGCAGCAGTCTGTAAGCCACAGCCTGTGGGCATCGCGAACTTTGTCTCCTGTGGAGATGCTGTGGTGCTTTTCCAAGCAGCAGAGGTAGAAGAAGCCTTCAGGCTCCCTAGTGTCATGGCTAGGGTCTCCCCTGGGTTAGGGCAGCAGGACTGCAGGAGGCTGAACATGAACCCACAGACCTCACCAGCACTGACAATGGAGGCAGTGCAAGAGCCGCAGCAATTCCCCGGCAGCATCAGGAAAGGCTGCCTAACAAGCTAATTACCTTTATACCATGATGCCTCCCTTCACATATTTCTAAATGCTTTAGAGAAGTTGTCACTACCAACATCCCTGTGAGATGGGGGGAAAGAGAGGCACAAGCGCAGCAGGGAGAGGAGCAGGTAACTCCTCTCATGTCTGGGCAGTGATGAGCCTGTTCATACACACAATCACACACAGAATCGCTCGGTTGGAAAAGACCTCTGAGATCATCACGTCCAACCGCTCCTGTCTACCCCCTAAACCATATCCTTAAGTACCTCATCTACCCACTTTTTAAATACATTCAGGGATGGTGACTCCACCACCTCCCTGGGCAGCCTGTTCCAGCCTCTGACAACCCTCTCAGTAAAGAACTTCTTCCTTATCTCTAACCTGAACCTCCCTTGGCACAGCTTGGTGCCGTTTCCCCTTGTTCTATCCCCCATCACCTGAGAGAAGAGACCAGCACCCACCTCTCTACAACCTCCCTTTAGGTAGTTGTAGGTGGTGATGAGGTCTCCCCTCAGCCTTCTCTTCTCCAGGCTAAACAACCGTAGTTCCCTCAGCCGCTCCTCATAAGGCTTGTTCTCCAGACCCCTCACCATCCTTGTGGCTCTTCTCTGAACACGCTCCAGAATCTCAACATCCTTCTTACAGTGAGGGGCCCAGAACTGAACACAGTACTCGAGATGCGGCCTCACCAGTGCCGAGTACAGGGGGATAATCACCTCCCTGGACCTGCTGGTCACACTGTTTTTAATACAGGCCAAGATGCCATTGGCTTTTCTGGCATCTTGGCCTGAATGGACCATGGATGGTGCCAGACGAGGAGCCCTGCTTATTTCTCCTTCAAGGGGATAAATCTGGGCATCGGACCTCCTTCTCCCCTGCTGCTCTGCCCTTCACACTGTTCTGAACCAGAGACGTGACCTTCTCCGCTGCCACCTTTCTGGGACCACACAGACTGAGGAAGGCGACTGCCTGGCCCCACATGACCTCACTGCCAGTAGTGAACCATCTGATGGATGGAGAAGGAGGAAAACAGAGATGGAGCCTCCCCCAGCACATGGAAAGGCTCTGCAGGCAGATGTGCCAGGACATGGCACAGACAGCAAAAGTCCTGGGTTGCCTTTCTAGCTCTGCAGAAGGTGCTGATGTGCGTTGTTATTCGGAAACTGGTTAATCAGAGGAGAGAAGAAGTGTGAGACAGTGGGATCAGCAAGAGAGGGAACAGCACAAGACAGGGAAGCAGATGCCCTGTGCAGTGGCAGGTAGCAGATGAGGTCTGCTCCGCTCTCCTCCCACACGGAAAAGAAAGCATAAAGCTAAGAGTGGGGGCCACACGCCAAGAAGTGTTGGAAAAGGCACCCCTGGAATAGCGGAGGAGGGAGTGCCCACAGCAGGAGCTCGAGCAGAAATCCCTGCAGGGAGCAGCACAGCAAGGCAGGCTACTCCATGCGACCTGGGGCATGGGAACAACAGGCGGAGGAGACCTTGGCCAGCCTGGCACACTCCTGCAGGGGAAGGCTGAGCAGTCGGTGAAACACCACGGCTAGAAGGAAGCTTGGAGGCTGCTTAGGTGCCAGCCCGAACAGAAGCAGGCACACCAAGAGCAGAGCGAGCATGAGTATGGGAGCAGCAGTGTCCCATCGCTGCTGCCAGCCTTTCCCTTGGACCCGCAGAGCCCTTGGCTTACCACAAACAGTGTCAGAATACAGCAGTGATTTAGTTCTTGGGGAATTTTCAGGAGATGGCCCACGCTGATCTAACAGTCCATTACTGATGGCTTAGTGAGCTGAAAGGGCTCGGCCAAGGCTTCGACTGAGACCTGTGCTGGATGGGGCAAGGCAGACTCCCCTTCTTGGCAGCAGCAAGCTGCTAATTCAACTTGGCCATCTCACAATTCATCCTTCAGGTCTGATTCCACTGGACGTAACAGATGTGCCCTGCCTACAAAAGAGGCTATTCAGTTGCTTAAAAAAGGGGAATAAGCAGAATCAGGGTCTCTGCTACAAAGACACCCACGTTTGTTAGGATGGACATGCAGCAATTAAAAAAACCCATAATCCCAAATCAGGATCAGTCTCAACAGCTTCCTTCCCAAGCCAAATATCTCTGTGGTCCCCAGTCCCTCAGCGGAGACACAGGCACAGACGCACTCCTCAGCCCAGGCACAGAAAGCCTTGCCTGTACGTCAAAGTGGGACCGCAACTCCCTTTCCATCTGGTCCAGAATAGCTGGAGGCTTCCCCCAGAATGGGGGGACAGAGAAAGAGCAGCATTCACAGGAGCACCTTATGCCACTCAGGGAGAGAAAATGGGACCATCAGAGCAGTGTTTGAGACTGAAACCCTACAGATCGAGCCAGATACTTCACAGCAGGAGGGGAAGGTGACAGTATCTGCTCCTGAGACCCCCACCTGGAGTCTGGGTACAGCTAAACCTCAGCTGTCCTTCTCAAAACAGGGGCCAGACATTTGTAGCTGCAGCTGTGCATCCACAAGCACCAAAACCAAGAAGTCCAAGGCTTAGCTCATGGCTCTTGCGCACCTGCAGATGCTGGCAGTGGCAGCACTTCCTCTGTCCACACTTGCTGGTGTTCTGAGCCTCTGTCTGCTGCATCCCCAGATCTCCTGTACCCACACGTGGCAGCTGCTGCCCACAGACAGCAGTGCCACCAGCAAACTGGTATACACCCCTTCCCAGCCTTCCCCACCCTTGGACAGGGAAGGAGCTGTGTTGACCACTTAAAAATGTTGCCTAAAACACCTATTTTCTCTCTCACTAATTTAAAATATCACTAGGTTTTAGAGTTAACACTCAGACTTTCTCACCCTCATACCAGGGTTGAACTGGTTGGGTTGCCTTCACCCCAGAGATTATCTTGCACCCATGTAAAATATTACATTTCAGTGTTAATAACCAGCATCCAGCTGTTGCAGGTGAAGATCTGTGGGACCCAAGGTGGCAGCCTGTCTGTGCCAAGTGATGCCCCAGACCCATGGAGGCGGCGGCAGGAAGGAGGCCCCTTCCAAGTGAAACCAGAAGCAAGACCAGTTCAGCAAGCACTCACCTCCCGGCAGAAGGTCACGATGTTTTCCCACAGGGCTTTGGCCTCTCCCTCGTCCGTCTGCCGCCTCTTCTCCACGTGCATGCTCTCCCGTCTCTTCAGGGGCTTGAGGCCCTTGCGCTGGGCCACGTACTGCTGTGGGGTATGGCAGGCCACACAGTGCTTGGCCTTGAGCTCGTTGAGCAAGGTGCAGGCGGGACAAGCCCACTGGCCCGGCCTCTCCTGGCCGGCGGGCAACTGGGACGGGAAGAGACGGGCAACCTTGCGGGCAGACGGGGCCTTGCTGCCACAGGAGGAGCAGCCGCCCTTGTCACAAGCCCCGCAGTCGGGGCAGCGAGGGGACGGTTCACCCTGTGTCCCGTGCTCCTGAAAGCCGTGGAGCTTGGAGGAGCCACAGGCTTTGCACTTCTGGGCCAGGGTGGGGTTCTTGAGGGTGCATTTGGAACAGGACCAGGTGGTAAAGTCTGGGCTGGAGGGGCTGCAGGGGGTGAATCTCACTGAGTCCCCCACCAGGTTGATGGTGTCACTGCCTTTCTGGGTACTGCAAGCCTCACATTTGACAGCCCCAGCGGAGTTAAGCAGGGAGCAGGAGCTGCACTTCCAGTGGGATGGACTGACCTCCATCTCCTCCTCCAGCACACTCAGCCGCTTGTTAGACAGCAGCTCCTGGAAGCGGGCAGCTGGGGCAGCCCTGGCCTGACCCTGGGGAGAGCCCTTCTGTCCTGCTGTGCTCTGAGCCACGGGCTGGGAGCTTTCGGACCCCGGCATCTGCAGCTGGGGGGGCACCTCCCGCCGGCTGCGGGGCACAGGGTTGTTCTGGAGCCCTGGGGAGAAGGGACTGAAGGCTGGCATCTTCTGGGCCTCTTGTTCCATAGCCACTGGGCCCTGGGTGGCCACAGCATCATCATCAGAAATCTCTGCAGAGACCACAGGCTGCGGGGTAGAGGGGGCCATGTGAAATCCAGCGGGGGTGATGACTTCAGGGACGACCAGCGCCTCTGGTGGGATCTTGGGCAAGGAGAGCTTGCGCGGGCCACCGCAGGCAGAGCAGGAGTTGGCCATCGGTGTGTTGTGCAGTGTGCAGCGCTGGCAAGCCCAGCCACTCTCCAGCTCTGCTTCATCAGGGCTCTTGCCCTCCGAGTCCTCGCTGCTGCTTTCTGCCTTGGCAGCCTCCTCCTTGGATGTGCCCTTGGGCTCCACAAGCACGGCAGGCTTGGGCAAGATGCCATTGATGACGGGCAAGGGTGAGCCGCTGGGCCCTGGCTCCGGGGTGAAGCCACATACCTCGCAGGTTTCCTTGCCCAGAAAGTTCCTGAAGGTGCAGCGGGCACAAGCCCATTTCTGTTCCTCCACGCTGAGCCGCAGGATGTGGTTGAGGTCGGGCTTCTGGCGGGGGGCTTCGCATATGGAGCATTGCCGCTGGCCAACAGGGTTCAGAAAGGTGCAGCGGGTGCAGGACCACTCACGGACAGCAGCCATGGAGCCAGGAGAGTGGGAGTGGCTGCAAGAAAGAAGACGATAGTGTGAGGCCAAGGCCACCTGGTACACGGGGGTACCATGTGTTTCCTAGGCTGGCACAGTCAGGACTTTGCTTCCATGAAGGCCACAACCACCAGCCCAGTCATTGCTCTCCAGGCACTTGCTCCTCTGGCACCGACAAATGATTTCTTCCAGTGTACGGCAACACACTGGCTTCCACCCAAAACACTTCTGGAAGGGCACAAGAAACAGAGCCACAACCCTGCCAACCCCTCTCTCATTGCAGGGATGCACCCCAGCAAGCAAGCATACCACCTCTGCACCCAGCCTCCACAATTCTGTATGTCTGCCGCTTGTTTGTAACTCCCTGGAGGAGGTGACACTGCTCTGCCTTCTTGCTGTTCCCAGGGTCAATTCTTTGCTCCTTCAGTGTCACTCCAGCCCACCTCTGTTTCTTTTTCTGTTACTATCTCTCTCCTCTCCTTTTGGCGCGCCACCATGGGCACACCACTTATCCATGCTAGGATAATGGTGTTACCCCACACCAGGCACCACCAAGCACAGAAGCAGGCTGTGGTGTGTGGTGGTGCTTTTACCTTGCTACCGCCTTCAGGGCCCGAAGCCTGGCCCAGCCTGTAAGCAGTAGCTCCATGCCAGTGCCAAGGCAGGTCATGGCGAGCCGGTGCCGACACAGCTTACTGCCAGCAGCTCCTGACCCTCTCCAACCTCTGGCAGAGGCCAGGAATTTCCATCAGCAGGTTTTGGGGAGCACCATGTCCCAGCTCCAGCTCCTGCCCTGCTTACCTGGGAAGCGGAGAGGCCACAGAGCCCTGCTGTCACCACCAGCCCTCCACTTCAGCCTCCGGTGTTGCCCGGGAATGCCTGAAAGCCTGATGGGGGAACGGGTCCAACACATGACACAGCCACTTCATTCCAGGGCAGAAAGTCAAAATAACGTTTTCTAGGCAAGTTCAATTTTCAGAAAACGAAGTGCAGCGGCAGCACCAGCTTCACAGGCTACGGCAACCTCTGGGCTTGCGGGGAGCAGCTCTCCCTCACTGCAGCCCTCCTGGTGCTTTCAGGAAGGCAATGCCACGCTTGCACACATGCTGACGAATGGCAGAAGGGATTCCAGCTCTGCACAGTGCCCTTTGTCCCCTGCTCGGGGTAATTTCCTGGAGCTTTGAGCAAAGGTGGAGCTGAAATGGAGCTTTCTGCTTCCTCCTCCACACAAGGACAAAACAGTTCTCTTTCAGGTAAGTGTGCCTCATGAACCCAGAGCTCAATATACTCCTGCTCTCAGGTAACGCAGCCCAACCTGAAGCCCCAACCTTGAACCCAAGCTCCAGGCCACCTGTGCTGCTCTCCAGCTGAGCTGGTCCCATTCCCACCCCTTCCACCCTGCTCTGCTCAACCGAGTCTTCAGTCATGGCCAATCCTGCAGGAGAGGCCTCCAAGACCACCCCAGGCCCTCAGCTTTTCCCAGGAACAGCAAATTCAGGCCATCCCAGACCAGGGAATGAGCAGCCTAAATCACAGGGGATGCGCCTCAGTGGGCTCACCACCGGCTCCTTCTCTAGCATCTCTTCAGCAACCAAGTTCAACCACAACACCGGCTGGAACAAAGAAGGGAAATAAGATGTTTTATGCCACAGAGGGCAGGTGCAGAGAGCTGAGACACAGGTGCAGTTTGTGGAGGGAACCGGGTCCTGGCTGGTCTCCAGCATCCCAAGCAGCAGCACCTGCACAACCAGCCTCCCAAGGCGGCTGAGCAGACTGCATTACAGCAGCGAGGTCTTGAGGGGACAGAGGATGCAGCAAGAACCACCCTGGGGAGGAGGAGAGTGCCCCTTCGTTGGGCTGGGTACATGAGAAACTCTCCTGGGAACACTCCAGCAGCAGCAGCAGCGAACCACACTTCCAGATCGTGCCCCACAGTCATCAGAAGAGCAGCACCTCTCTCACAAGATCAGATACAACCTTCAACTCTCTTCTTAAATCAAATGTTTCTCTAAATAAAGCCTGAACCCAAGAAATCTATTTTATTGCAAGAAAGAACTTGAAAATTCATTCTGGTTCATATACCATGCCTTCATAGTTTGAACTTTACAAGGTATTTATTTACTGGAGTTATTTAAGGAATCTTTCCCAGCTACAAGAAATAGAAACATTGATTTTTCTGTCTGAAGTCCTACAGCTGTGAGCCACTGTACTGTTCTCTCCCCCGTGGCAGCACCGTGCCCACAGCCGTCTGAAAGGGAGAGCAAGCCTCAAACAGAGAAAGGGAAGGAGCTGCGTGCCCGGCACCAGCAGAGGCAGGGAAGCAAACAGGGCCATGAAAGGCACCATGATCCTGTCACACCCATTCGTCTTACTGGATGAGGTTCATCAAACCACAGGCATCAGCAAAAGGCTGTCAGCAACTCACGCCATCCATGTCCATCCTCCTGCAGAGTCCCATGCTGTTACCCACCATACACTGAGCTGGAAAACGCTGGCTCCAAAAAATCCATCCCTAAATGCACACGCCATGCTGCTTACCACAGATCAGAACCCTCCAGCCGCCAACCTTCCTGCACGCATCGCTCTTGCACCCATGGTCCTACCCAGCAGATGAAGGTTTTTGACCATGCAACCACAGGACCAGGGAAAGAAATCACCTTGTCCCTTCCCATACCAATACAGAGAAGGGTAAAACCAGGAGAACCTAAAGGACAGAAGTACCGTACGAAGGGACCACACTGCCAGACCTGCCTGATGTGGTATCAGCGATGAGCCATGGGCTTGGGGAAGGCAGCACAGCTTCATTCGGTTGATCCAAGCTCCAGGCAGCAAGAAGGGAGGTGGAAGGCAGGACACTGCAGGGCTCTGCCCTGCCACTGCACATGCTTACCCCCAAGCTTTGGTGAGCTGTGATTGCTCCTCAGCTGCACTGGTTCCCTCCTCTGTCCCACACGGCAGAAGCCAGCTCGCGACAGCATCCGTTCCAGGGACACCATCCTGCCCACTGCTGCGACTTCCAGTACTTGACTTCCTCCTCTGACAGCTCTCAGAAAAACCAAAAAGCCTCCCAAAAAGGCCATCAGCTCTTCCCTCAAAGGTCTGTAGCTCTGGACTTCTCCCTACAAAGCCTGGCTGGCTCCTTTTCTGGCAGGCAATAAGCCTGCATGAGGAAATACGGTTGTCTCCACCATTCATTCACCAGATCCATCTGCTGCATGGTAACACCCATGCTCTCCAGCCTCAAAAAACGCAACTGAGATAAACGTTGCCTGCCGCCTTCCCAGGCTCCTGTGCAGACAAGGAGTTCCTCTCAAAAGCAGCCACTCCACAGTGATCCGGCAAAGGCAGCCACCCACAAGAAGGGCTTTTCCTGGGAAGGGGACACTTTGCAGGGAGCACAATGATGAAAGCTCTCAGCAGCCCATCCAGCTGCCAACAGGGATCTGCTAGAGGCTCTTTTTGGGTGCACACAGCAAGGAAAGGGCAACAGTCAAACAACCCCACACCTCCAGCAGCAAGGACAGGGCTGGCCCCACATGGTCATCCTTCTCACTGCAGTAGCTCTACCCAACCAAGACAGGGTGCACATCAGCTGGCAAGAGATACCACCACGTTGACAGGACTGCACTTTCCTTGGCAGTCACAACAGCGTAATTATGATACTTAAAAAAGAATATAGAAGGTACTCAACCAAGTAGGCAGCTTTCAGCATGCTGATCAGGTCCCAGGGGACCTCACTGCTCACTCTGCCTTGCAGAGTTAGGAGTGCCAAGGACAGCCCACCGCTGAGGTGACAGCCTCCAGAGAGGGACGCTGGCTGGGATGCCCAGGCAGCCATCGCTGCAAGAAGGCTGCGTGGCTCTTTTGCTCTGGACAGCATTTCTGAGACCACGGAGGTGGCGAGGGAAGGACCTCAGGATACCTCAGGACAATTATATCCCTCTTCTAGGGCTCCTGAGCGATGAGTTTAGAAGTCTGCTGCGCTTGCTCCTGGTGCTACAGAGCCCTGACTCCTACACAGCCATTGAACAAGCCAGGGGTCTCAACCACCTTTGGGTGTCACCTGGGACCAAAGGCTTTTCTGGAGCAGGGCACTACAGGGAAAGAACAGGGCAGGGCACAAGGCCGGAAAGTGCCCAAAAATCTGCAGTTTGCATCTTTCCTGCAGGCAGGGAGCTGGTGGTGTGCCAAGCCTGTGTGATGTGCAGCTGAGCTCCAGGGCAGGAGATGGCAACCGGCCCTGAACAGAAGGACCTTGGATTGCCAGAGCAAATGGCTCGAGGTGACCTGGGCACTGGAGCAAGAGATCCCAGGGCTCCACTGCAGAGCCCACACCGGTGACAGGATTATACAAGCTTGTATCAACCACACACAGCAACAGAATCAGGCTGCTTCTCTAAATAAAGCTCCTCACACAGCTTTAGCCTTAAAACTTATTGCTTCAGTTCTCTCCCGCAGTAAATAAAACAAATAAATAAAAAACAATTGTTCCAGTCAGCAACATACAAACCCCGAGTTCTCTGAAACAGAATGCACTGTAGCAAAATCCTCTCGTTTGACAAATACAAGAAAAAAACCACTAGAACTCTGTGGAAGAAAAAGAAAAAAATCACAAAAAACCCAAACAAAATCCTGCCTCGGTATCCTGTGAGCTGCAAATCACTTCCCTCCTCCCCATCCAGCTGTTTTCTATTTAACTTCTTCTTCAACAGCACAGAGTGCTCTGACCTGAGAGGGCTGCTGAGTCGGCTCCCGCACAGACCTACCACATCTCCAGAGCCGAGGACACCCGCGCCTGAGCAAGACGGGGGTGAGGGAGGCCAGGAACCACGCAGCATCGCTCTGGCAGCTGAACTGTTAGAAGGGCACATGGGATGGGATCACAGCTCGCACGTCGTGAAGCCTGGGCAAGGAGATGCTGTTGGCTGAGCTGACTCACTCTTGCAGAGCCAGGCGAGGGCTGGCAGGCTGGACCAGGGGAAGGTTGCAGCAGATAA